CTAAGCAAGAGCGTTGTTAAGTGAGTTTCACCACATTTTACAAGTTGCCCCCCCCCACCCAGTCACATGGCTGGCAAGCCACTCCCACAAAGGAGGCCACACCCACAGAGTACGTTCTAAAAAAAATTGAAACCCACCACTGCTGCCCATCCATCAGTAAGATAACTCTCCTCTAAGAAAACAGGACTAAACGTGAGGAAGATCAAGTTTGAAAATGGAAGGTTGAGAGTTGCAAAGAGAAGAAATTCGTTTAAAACAAAAATCTCCCAATGAGAGAGGTAGGGATGGTATGAGAGAGGTAGCCAGAATGTCCCCAACTTCCAATTTTGATCTGCATTCTTCCTTCTTCTCTTTCCCAAATATGTAACCACTAGTACTTGCCATAATTAAGACTTTGGAAAGAATTCTATAAGCTGCATTCTGCTTCCTTTCCCTGTCTCATTCATGTAAAAACTAGGGCTAAGGAAATGCACATAACACGTAAAATATGAAGATGGTTTCCCTATCTTTTATCTTTTCATTCCTGATTTGGAATTTCTATCTCTGTATTATAGCTGTAATGGCTGTAAACTGGGAGAAACAATCACTATGGCTGATAGGATCAGGAATCCAGAAACAGTTGAAATGAAATTGGCCACCTCTGCTTTAAAAATAAAAAAAAATCTGAAATACATTTTGTCACTTGAGAATAATAGCAACTGAAGTTGGGGGGGGCGGGAGTCACATTTATTTCCTCCTGGACTTGTCACAATCAATTTAAAACTCACCCATGTAAAGAAAATCCCCATGGTATCTAATCCACCACAGATTTTCAGATAACTGAATCGCTCTCCTGCTGTATGCATAATTACTCAATAATTTTTTTATTAATAAACTCTAGGCACATTTTTGAGCACGAAGGCAAAATAATTCAGTGCAATGGATATGCTTTTCTACTTACATTTATGAGTCAGGAGAACATCAAAAGAATCTCCCCATCGGGTAGCTTCTTCTGTGGACAATCTTCTATTGGGGGGGAAAAGGAAAGTCAAGAGCTACAAAAATTGCCCAAAATAATTTATTAAAATTCTATAAATCTGATGTGTCCATGTTATGTATCTGAAATAATTCGGCTAATATTACAGATCAGTTAATAGCTTATTCTGCTGTATCAGGAATGGGCAGAAGATAAACACACAAAGCTGTATTTGCTAGTAAATCGTTTATCAGAACCTCCTGTGGATATCAGTGTATGTGTGTGGAGTTGGGGCAATGATGACACATGCATTATGACATTAGTGTACCAGTGGTGGAATTCAAATAATCTAACAACCAGTTCTCTGCCCTAATGACCAGCTGGGTAGGTGGGGCTCGGTGGTCATGTGATNGTGGCCAACTTGTAAAATGTGGTGAAACTTACTTAACAACGCTCTTGTTTAGCAACCAAAATGTTGGCTCAGAAACTCTAGCATTTGAAGCACACAAGATGTCAAGTTACAAGACCCTTGCACCCCTAACCCTTTAGAAAAAAACCCAAACTCATCAGCTTTAAGACTTTAAGGTTTAGATAGGATTCTTAGAGGCGGGCGGGGCAAGTGGTGAGCCAGCCAATCAGTGAGCGGCGGGCAGGGCAAGCATGGTGCGGATGGGCGGGGGAGGGAGCTGGAACCGATTCTAAATGGCACGGTAGATTTGTGGAACCTCTTCTATAGAAGAGGTTAGAACTGGCAGGAACCCATCCCTGAAGCAGACTCACTCCTAATAGCCCCCACCATCCTCAATAGCCCCCAACAGATGTCTGCACTCAAGAGATAAAGAGATAGCTAGGTCTATTCATTGGCAAATGCCCTCACCCAAGATCCAACAAAAGTAGGATTGACCCTCTACCCATCTAGCAACACAACTCACTACATGGCACCTGGGAAGATTACATCACCCAGCAAGGCTCAACCAAGAATGGGACTCAGGACAGCCTACAGAGTTGCCCCTGCATGGCCCTATGGGAATTTGACAACCAATCAGACTACAAGCTCAAATTCAAAAGCCCAGAGAGGGTCTAAAACCCAGGCACTCTCCGCATATCTTCCCTTTTTTTCTTCTTCACCCAACATCTTCAAAGCAGGTGATCCTGTCCACCATTAAAAACCATCTTTCCAAGCAGCCACCATGTTTCCAGCTTCTTTCTCCCCACACGGAACTGAACCCAGGAGGACTTTTCTTCCAACACAACAAAACTCAGAACTGCCCAGGATAGGCAAAAAGGATATTTTGAAAAGCGAGAAATGAAATGGACAATCCCATTTAATCTCTGCTGGTGCAGAGGAGCATCGGGGGGTGGGGGGAGTGAAAGCCTTGAGAGCAAGTTAAAACAAGTGAGGATGTGATTGTCTCCTCTGAACTCTGCTGACAGCGTACAAAAATAACTAGGCGAGCCTTTGTTGGCGAAAGGCTTTTGAGAACAAATCCAAACGTTCCCAGGGCACCCTGTGGAATCTCATCTTGGTGTGCTTTTAAAGTTGTTTAGTTCTGATTCAGCAGTCCAAAAGTGTGCTTAAACACAGCAGGTAACCATTTCCCCTGGAACAAATAGGAAAGAAATCAGGTTAGCATGAGGGCACCCAGCAGGACTTGGCTTCTGTCTTCTTGGTCCACATAAACTGACTTCTTCAGGAAAGGGGGAAAAGACAGCCCGTTGCAAGAATCATGTTCTTACATGCACAAGAGAAAAACAAGAAAGCAGGATAAAATAAGAAATCAAACCTGTGGAAAGGCATGGTGGAGGACCATGGCAATAAGGAATAAGGGAAGTGCTGAAATCATGCTTTGAAACGGGCATCCAATTTTTGGCAACTTTAAGACCTATTGGACAAACTCAGAATGGCTTCAACTGAGCATGACCTCAGCATGGTTCCCTGGGGAATTCTGGGAGTTGAAGTCCACAGGTCTTAAAGAAGCCAAGGTTGGGCACCCCTGCATTAGAAGAACTGTCCATGGCGGCATCTGTTCCTTTCTTTCAGAGCTGGAGATGCTTTTGGTGGCTGGAGATGAAACAGAATATTTTCTAAATGGGCAGAGTTTTCCTTTGGTTGTCAAGGAGAGTTTGGTTTTTGGTTTTTTTTTTCCTAAATTATGTTCAGCTTCTTTTAGCATGGATAAGAGATATATGCATGTGCCATAGAATCCTGGTACCATTTTTTTTCTTTAGCAAAGTTGAAATTAAAGACAGCTCTCTTTGGAAGAAGGAGGAGGAGGAGGAGGGGAGGAGGAAGAGGAGGAGGAGG